TATTGCATAGGAACCTGGAATGTTAGGTCCATGAATCAAGGCAAATTGGAAATGGTCAAACAGGAGATGGCAAGAGTGAATGTTGACATTCTAGGAATCAGCGAACTAAAATGGATTGGAATGGGTGAATTTAACTCAGATGACCATTATATCTACTACTGTGGGCAGGAATCCTTTAGAAAAAATGGAGTAGCCATCATAGTCAACAAAAGAGTCCAAAATGCAGTACTTGGGATGCAATCTCAAAAACCACAGAATGATCTCTGTTTGTTTCCAAGGCAAACCATTCAATATCATGGTAATCCAAGCCTATGCCCAACCAGTTATGCTGAAGAAGCTGAAATTGAACAACTCTATGAAGACCTACAAGACTTAGAACTAACACCCCAAAAAGATGTCCTTTTCATTATAGGGGACTGGAATGCAAAAGTAGGAAATCAAGAAACACCTGGAGTAACAGGCAAATTTGTCCTTGGAGTACGGAATGAAGCAGGGCAAGTGGCTAATAGAGTTTTGCCAAGAGAACAAACTGGTCATAGAACACCCTCTTCTAACAACACAAGAGAAGATTCTACACATGGACATCACTGGATGGCTGACACTGAAATCAGACTGATTATATTATCACCTAAAACCTATTAAAAAGCAGAGACATTACTTTAGCAACAAAGGTCCATATAGTCAAAACTATGGTTTTTCCAGTAGTCATGTATGGATGTGAGAGTTGGACTGTGAAGAAAGCTGAGCACCGAAGAACTGATGCTTTCAAACTGTGGTGTTAGAGAAGACTCTTGAGAGTCCCTTGGACTGAAAAAAGATCAAATCAGTCAATCATAAAGGAAATCAGTCCTGAATATACATTGAAAGGGCTGATGTTGAAGTTGAAGCTCCAATACTTTGGCCACCTGATGCAAAGAGCTGACTCATTGGAAAAGACCTTGATACTGGGAAAGATTGAAAGTAGGAGGAGAAGGAGACAACAGAGGACAAGATGGTTGGATGGCATCACCTCCTCAATGGACATGAGTTTGAGCAAGCTCCGGGAGATGGTGAAAGACAGGTAAGCCTGGCGTGCTGCAGTCTATGGGGTTGCAAAGAGTTGGACATGACTGAGCAACTGAACAAAAACACATAAAGTGAATGTTCTCATGAATAACACTTGAGTTTTATTTTCTTATATTGGCTTCTAGCCTTTAGATTATAGACTTGAGTTTCCTAAATAAAATGCATACAAAAATATATAATAAATTAATATGGGCTTAAGTTTCTCAAAAGGACTTCAGAACATGGGCAGCTGTGGACGGTGCCATGAGCTCTCCAGACTTTGCCTTCCAAGAAGCCTGTAGGTCTTTGTCTTCTTTGTCATTATTCGGGCTGGAGATTCAGCCCTGAGCTACCCTGGTCACAAGCGTGTGTGTAACTTCTCATCACTTTAAGTGTGATATGATACATGGGAAGATTCTGTAGTCATTTTATCACTCTCCATGGAGAGAGACCATGCATTCTC